CTTGCTGCCACCTATTGACGGTTTTATTTTTAAATCTACAAGTATCACTTCGATTTGCCATAATTTTTTGCTTTATTTATTATATTAATAATACACTTAATGGAATGTTAAGAATATGACATAAAACATAACATACAATTAATAAGGATAGAAAATCTTTGCCTCTATAAAGGTAAAAATAATGAACCAGTAAATCAGTTTAAGGGGGCAAATAATGTCCTTTAATAGAAAAGGTGTGACTGCTGTGGAAGAGAGGGGGTACACAGAAGAATGTTAAATGCCCCAGGGGGTACGCCGCTGTAAAAAGTTTGAGAACCACTGAATTAGATTAATTAATCGCCACATTATGCAATTATTAGATTAAACATTTTAATCGATTGACAGCCCTTTACAAAACAACAGGTTTAAATCTAGCACAGTTTATATATTTTCAATGAATACATTATGTCTGAGTATAGTGACTTCTGTGATTAGAACTGCAGGAATCAGCTGACGGTTTACTACTGCCTAAAAATTGACAGAGCAGTGTTTGTCTAATAAGCAGTGAGAAAAGCAAGCTTCTGGCAGTGGTGGCAGTGACTATAGTTGGCTGTTTCTTTAACAACACCAGGGCCCGTATTCACAAAACATTTTATCTTACCACTAAGAGTTCTCCTAAATAGCAGTAAAAGTTTTTAGCTAAGAGTTTCTCTTAAAACCAATTCACAAAGCTGCTGAGACAAAACTTTACTAAGGAATAGAGAGAAGTCTTAAGCTAAGAGTAAGGGCGGGGTTGACCTCGTTGCTATGGATGATGTCAGCATGCTTACTAACTATGCACACAATGATTGGCTTACAGGGGCAGGCTCTGTCAGAGATTTATACATATAAATATTGTAGAGCACGATTTTATGTTGCCATATTCAAATAAAGGTTTAAAAATAAAAAAATGTTAATTGGCACATTCAAATAAATATTTTAAAATGCAGGCTAAGAGTCACTAATTAAACAAGTATATGTTCAGCTAATTGTCAGCCTCTTTCATGTATGCTTCTTGTGAACAATTAGTGAATATGCATATAAACAGCTTATAATTAACAGAGTGGAATAATCATGGCTGATAGCAGTGGCGTGCATAGGGGCGGGGGGTTCAGGCTCGGGCTCGGGCCCCTGCCCCTTTAATCGCCGATGCTAAAGTGTCCTTTCGGTCCGGTCTATGTGCCCCTGGACCGCGATTTCTACTGAGGGGGAAACCTAAAATGTTTACATTCCAAGGCAAATTGCCAGAACAGCCATTTTAGCATAGTTTGTGGCTTGGTCTTAGTGACTTAAAGAGTCCTCTTCACTACTCCTAACGTTTCACAGATTTAGGACCTAGTTTTAGTGCTAAAACGCTTTGTGAAATACTCTTGGAGCAAAAATGTAGGAGTCCTAAATTTAGAACTGACACATTATTTTTAAGATTTTCTCCTAAATCGGCGTCTTAAGAGCTACTTTTACCCTTAAGATGTTTTGTGAATATGGGCCCAGATGTTTAAAGAAAAGCAGAAGGACTTAAACACAGCAGTCCTTGCTACTTTTAGCCTTAAGATGTTTTGTGAATATGGGCCCAGATGTTTAAAGAAAAGCAGAAGGACTTAAACACAGCAGTCCTATTTCAAGACAGTTAACAACTATGTTAACCTGTAAAAAGCTTCAGGAATATGCAAATGAGAACTACAGCTGGTACAAAGTGTGACTGTGAGAGTCATGGATCACGGGTCAGCCCACGACCGGCCCTCCCTGATGAGCTCGTTAGAAGGCTGAGGTCTGCCACGTAGGGGGCCATTTACTTGACTGGACTGATTGAGAATGTGGGCATTTCCCTTTGTCCATCAATAACTGCCCAATCAGTGCTCAAGTGAAAAGCTGTCTGCACTGCAGGCACTTCACTAATGTTCCGTAAATGTGAGTCTGACCAATATGAATGCAGTAACACTGAATCATTTGACAGGTCAAATAAAGAAATAACAAAAGAAAGAATGGGTGAGAGAAAGAAGAGACGAAAGGAATGAAAGAAATAAAATGAAGAAGAAAAGAATGAATGCGATACTGAATCATTAGACTGCTCAAACAATACATCAACAGAAAGAAGAACCTAAAGAAAGGACAAATATGAAGAAAGGAAGGAAGGAAAAGGAAGGAAGGAAGGAAAGAAGGAATGCAATACTGATTCATAAGACTGCTCATATAATAAAATATAGCGAATGAAAGGCCAAAATAAAAGGACAGAAGGAAAGAAGGAAATAATGCAATAATACTGAACCATGAGTTATAAAGGAAAAAAGGAAGAAAGGAAGCAAGGACGGAAGGAAAGCGAAAATAAAGACAGACAATAAAAAAGGAATGCAATAATACTGAACCATGAGCAAGGAAGGAAGGAAGCAAGGAATGAAAGAAGGAAAATGAAGGACGGAAGAAAGAAGGGAGAAAGGGATGTAATGCTACTAAACCAGAGTAGTAGAAGAGAGGTGAAAGGAATGCAATACTACTGAACCATGAGCCATTCAGTCAGTCAGAAAGAAAGAAAGAAAGAAAGAAAGAAAGAAAGAAA